GTTCGTAATGCAAACCAAAACGTTCGTAGCTTACGAAGGATTTTGAAGCGTTGTTTGTAAGGCTTGACAGGGTCTTACGAACAATTGGTTCGCAATACGAACTATTTGCTCGTAAGCTTACGAACAATTAATTCGTAATACAACGCTTCAAAATCCTTCGTAACCTACACAATTTTTGGTTTGCATTACGAACCTATAGTTCGTAAGCAATTTACAGTGTGGACACCTCATGAACAGATGAGGTTTTCATATGTGTTCTGTATGCACACTTACAGAACATGTTCGTGCCGCATACAAACTCAATGGGTGGCGCACTGTAAGAAGCTCGCGAAGAACTATTCTTTGCATTGCAAAGAATTTTCAAGCGATGTAAAATGCTTTGCATTGCGAACTAAATCCTTCGCATTGTGGACTAATTCTTCGCACCTTACGAAGAAAATCGTTCGTAACGCTGCGAAGAATTATCTTCTAACCTTGCAAACCATTTCTTCGCAACTTACGAAGAAAATAGTTTGCAATGCAAAGAAAGTAGGTTGCTTTGCAAACTTCCTTACAATGCTTGAAAATTATTTGCAAGAATCTTGCAGTGCGGGTGCCATATGTGTTCCGCATTTTAACATACTGCCAGTGAATTGCCTACAGATGGCGCTGCAGTCAGCGCGTCTCCAACTTAAGACGTTTTTCTTTTAAGTGACAATTTTCCTTAGACACAGGCTTTTAAAGACAATGTAGTAGACAAAACCTAGAGCAAAGAAGTGCAAATTACAAAATATGTGTTGCCAGCAAATTGATCGTATTGCATATATACTTCATTTCTGCACAGAATTGAGCTGCTGATACATACTCTGCTCCTGACGACGATCTTGCTACTGTTTTTCGTTTCTTCGAACGCCACTCAATGGGTCCATTTCCATACATCATAACGTAGCCAGATGTGCTTTTCTTGTCTCTTGGATCTCCAGCATAATGTTCATCACAGTATGTATGTAGATTGAAAAGATCATCCTTTCTTTTAAAGGAATATTTAATCCCATAATTTTTGGTTTTGTTGAGAGACCTACTAGTTCTCTTCACATTATCAGTTCATCAGCTTTTGCTTACCAGGCATACATTCGTTGACTTTCTAATATATTAGAAAACAAAACACGAAGTGTTTCAGCTGTGGTGTGAGAGTATTGGTAGAGCTATGTAGTCAACATTTAAAGGAAAAAATAAATCTTATGTCTTTCTTGTAAAAGTTATCTTTTAATCATAAAATTAAAACCATAATACTAGTAATACATAATAACAATTCAAATAACACTAACAAGTAATTCTTAAAAATTATTATGGACACCAAAAAACAAACAGTAATACTAAAAACTTATACATCAACAAGGTACCAAAGGCTTTGGTCAAAAGCAAAACTAGAATTTCTTCCCACCTTACACTACGTGAAGTTAAATCAAACAATAAAGGTAGAAACAAAGTATACTACTGTTCTAGAAGATCTTTCAAATACTTATTGGTAGTTTTTTGAGCTTTGACCAGCTCCTCTTGAGACCCTACGAGGGCCTGCAGAGATGTGGCTATAGACTCCAGAACACTAGTTTGCATTTTTGTTCGCTCCATAAAAGTCTCCAGCTGCTCCACCTCTACAGGCCTGCCTTCCCTCAACTCCATCTCCTTCCTCACTCGCTTGCTTACATCTTTCCTAATCTCTGATTCTGTTTTCCTTTGGGGGGGGGGCAGTTTACTTGAGCAGGGTGTCGAAGGTGATGGTGATAATACCTGCAGTACTTGACTAGATTTCCACTGGCTTGAGCTGCTTGGGCAGGGTGTCAACACCTCCACAAATGTATTGTTGCTGTCCCCAGTATCATCTACCACATGCAACTCAAAAGAGTCTTCAAGTGGCATTTGAAGTTCATTGTTATACTGCTCTGTGGTCTCCTCGCTTGAGTTCTCCTCGGTCTCCTCCTGTCATTAAATGATAAATTGAAGTGAAAGTTACAGTTGTTATACTTTTTTGCAAACTTGACAGAAAATGTACTTACCACAATATCCCTATCCGGATCTATTGTCCCATTTCCTTCAAGGGACTCTTTCGTATGGAATTCTTTGAGGCAAATTTCTTCCAAATCATTTAATTTCTTTGGTTTATGTCTAGGGTTGTTGTCAGTTGCATTTTTATACTTTTTATTGTGCAAGTACTTCTTCTTGCACTCACTTTTCCAGTCTTGGTATGACTAAAGATCAGAGAAGCACTACAGAATTAAAAGAGGTACGGATCAAAATAATTAAGTTACACGTCAACTTTTATCCTGATTGCTTACCTTTCTCCATGTCGCTGCTTCATACTGTGCGCCTGGCATTGAGTTCAGTAGGTTTGGTAATTTTTCCCACGTTTCAGTCTTCAACTGAAGGCAAATAAAAGAATGGTAAAATAGGTACAAAGCTCTGTGTGAATGACACAAAATGCAATTGTAATGATTTTCTATGAACTCTTCCTGATCACTGTGAGGTCCCTCAAACTTTTCTGTGTTGCAGCCAGGGTTCTGACGGATAAAGTCCACCATGGCTGCTCGTTGATCGTGTGTGATGCTCTTGCTCTTCTTTTGACTCATCCTGATAAATCTTGATAAAATAATTAAATAATATTACAATTAACCTCACGCGGGGCACATGCATTCAAACCAAAGAATTATTCAGTGGTTCAAGTCATTTGAAAATAAGCTTTCTGCACCCTCATAGTGGGACAGGTGCGCGACTGCTTGAATTGGCCGCGGTCATTCAATCTCACCTGCCCCACCCCACCTGTGTTTGACCTACCTTTGCGCAAACAAAAAGAAAGAGTTGGATTGGAGTTGAGGTGGAAAACGACCCGCAAGTTTTGGGTAATCTTCATGGCCATGAAGTTGGTGCCAATACATTTCTCCATTGCCGTGGCACCAACACTCATGGCCTTTTAACAGTTGACTTCTTTGATGCCCCTGACGCCCGTCGATATGCACCTTGTGCAGGGCGGGCATGTTGCCGATCCACTGTGTGGACCCCGCTCTCCGTCAGCCCGCGACTGGTTGGCCCACCCTGGCTCTTCAAGGTGCACATGATGACATGATGTCCTGCTCCACCACCATGTCCGTCCACACGCCAGCCCAATAATCTGAAGTGCGCGTCACCGTGAAGTACCCCCTCCTGGCCGCCGCGGCCAGGTCGCCGTCGAGGTCCTCCATGGTCTGGACGTACAGGCGTGCGGACCTGGCGTAGAGATGATGCCCCGCCCCGTAGAACAGGGGCTCCATCGCCGTGGTGGTGGCCAGGTGCAACTCCTAGTCGCCCGTGCGCTCGGCCCTGATGAACAGCCTCACCAAGCTCACCAGCTGATTATACCGCATGCCGTATTCCGAATATCAACTGGCCAATCATGGACATTTCGTATGCCTGTCCAAAGTTGCAATGCTGTGCAATGGCTTGTAAGGCAGTCACATACTTTCGTACCGATTCCAAATGCTGTTGGAGCCGGTTCTGAAAGGTTAGGCGGTAACCTGCAGTGAGCCCTTCGGGCTCGAAGTGTTCTTTGAGGACTGCCATCAGATCTGGGATGGCATAAGTAGTGAGATCTTGCTCGCATCCCGCATCCAGGATTGGGTATGCCATTAAATGAAAGCTAATGATCCTAAAATAATCGTACCTAGGATGTAATTAAACAAACTGAACAGAAGGGGTAGGATATAAATTAGAAATGTCTAAAATACTACCTAAAATAATATAAGTTGTGCACTATTTATAGTAAAGCAGAGATGGAGTTGAACAAAGAAAACGATAATAAAATGATAAGAATGTGACTTACGAGAGGTTGTAGAAGCAGCCATGTATGTTGGTCGTGGAGGTACGGTAGGTACTGCCCTAAGCTCACGGAGGGCTGCTGAACTGTCTGCGCCAGAAGCAGTATTGGTAGCCGTTAAAGGGCACGTTCTTGATGATGAGTAGCCCGTAATCCATTCTGGATCGTATGGTGGGGGTGAATCCAAATCACCATCGAGTGCGGGTGAAACAGAGGGCGCAACTGCGCCTTGCAGAGCATCAGGTCGACAATTATTCAAGCATCCGCACCGCAGTAGGAGGAGTACTCTTTTAGTGAGCCCAAACAAATGTCACAGAACTCAAACACTGAATCTTCAGTCATAAAAATAGTCTCACTTTTCACCCCGTGGTGGGTAGGCAAAGGGTACCAAACAACAGGCACACCACCGTCAAAAGCACTGATGCAATGAGTATGAACGTACAACGGCTTGTTCAAATCCAAATCAGAAGTAAGGCCGAACCGACAAGTAAGGCCAAGCGAGGCCCGGACGGAAAAGCAGAGAGCGTCCATGATGAGTGATGTAAACAAACAAGCGAGGATTGTAGCACGGAGTGGACACTGCAGATTCCCGAGCCGGACTGACCGAAAGGACGAGCGGGCCAACACCCCCGCCCGCTCCCGCTACCCCCCCTCCTCCTACCCCGCGAGACAGCAGAAGACGAGGAATAGACAATACACACCAAGAAATGTTAACGAAATAATTATTTTACCACTAAACAACGCCCCCCCCCCCCTATTATGAAACCCACAAGCCCGGATGGCTGTCCGCAACCCCTTCACCAGCCGCTCAATCCTGCTCTGGGATTGGCCCACCTGGGCGTCCGTCACCGGCTTGAAAGGTTGCTTGCTTCAATGGGGTAGATGGTCTTCAGCAGGTTAGGTTTGTGCAGGTGGTCGCTGAGGCGCACGGTCACATGATTGGCACAGTGGAGTCTGACGACATGGCGGCCGTTATCACACTTTGCTCTGATTGAGGGATAAGTGCTGGAGTCGCCATCAACAATGTACAAGCGATATTGCAGTTTGTGCCTCTGGACGCTTTTCTGGAAGCCATCAACTAGACTGCTCCATTGATGTAGCGCTGCCATCATAATCCTTGTGGCACTTGTGATTAGGCGGCTCAATCCCTTTCTTCTCCGCCTCCGAGCAAGTAGTACAATGATTTTGACGTGTGTCAGTATGGACCGGCTTCATGGACTGCTCACCTAACAGTATTCCCTAAAAGAAAGCAGAGTGTGTAACTATTTGCTTTTGTTTCCGCTCAGCGGGTACAACCGAGGCGTTCCAAGTGGCACTCACCGCTGCAGCGGGTGAAGACACGTTCTTCCCCCCGCAGGCACGCACGCCCCAGCCTGCGTCTCCAATGACGGTGGTGTAGCATAGGGCCGCATCGTTTCCATCCTCGTCCTTCACCACCTGCCCTCTCTCCAGGGCAAGTCGTAACTCAAACGCACCATTCTTTGTCGTCATGTTTTCAGTATGGTCGCCCCCACGCCTGTAAAAGGGCAAGGGCGTTATTTATGTCACGGCGCAGAAAACGTACAAAGTCTTACAACATACCAGGTGGCTGATTCACGCCGCGCACTTTCGTGGTTATACTGTGCCGCATGCACGCGTGCGCGCGGGTTGCCTACTCGCACGGGCCCTAAGGAGCCGTGGGTAGCGAGCATAGGCGAACCCGCGCACACGAAGTGCATGCGGTACAGAATAACCACGAAAGTGGTACAATCAGGCGGTGCGAGCGCACTTGCCTTGCCGACTTGCTCCTGGTGTCTGTTGTACTTCCTGTTGGAGGGCATGGGCATGTCCATGACGCTCAGCAACTCCTCCGCGTCCGCGTACCCAGAGCCGATGGGCATAATGCCCCACGCCAGCGCGTCGTTGTGCAACTCGTTGTTGTGCCTGTGGTTCATTAGGTCTCGACCGGTTGGTATCGCACTGCGCGCTAAGGTACAGCGAAAAACCACAATTTTGGATATTGATGGCTCACTTTGGAAAATGTTCTACAAGTAGAGGTGATAAACGGTGCAAAAGAGATTTTTTTTTTGCGACTTCATCTTCTGCCTTGAACTTTAACATTGAACTCTTCGATGGGTCCTAAGAACGTTGTCCGATCTCGCAGTGACAATGTTTGATCTCGCAGTGACGCTTCAACAAAGTCCGATCGCCTTTTGACGTTCTCTGCGGCGCCGTCTTCTTTTCATTGCGATTTGAATAATATTGGCAGTAGAGAAAAAGTAAAAATTGCGATGTGGTCTTAAAAGATTAAGGACGACATTGATGTTTTTACTTTTTCTCTACTGCCAATATTATTCAACTCGCAATTGAAAGAAGATGGCGCTGCAGAGAACATCAAAAGGCGATCGGACTTTGTTGAAGCGTCACTGTGAGATCAAACAACGTTGAAGCGTCACTGCGAGATCAGACAACGTTCTTAGGACCCATCGTCTTATGGAGAATTGATTTATCAATCAGGTTGCATCATTCCTGACAAACATATGTCAAACCAAACCATAAGATATGTGTAGCTCCTCTGTGGAGCTATTATTGGAAAAATTACTAGTTTTTAAAAATCTAATAGCTTGAAATTTTTTTCTTGCATCATGCAACTGGTGAGGTACATATTTTTCTGTATCCCAGGGCTGCTCAATTCCATGTCCCACTTGTGCTCCTCTGTTTTGTGAATCTTTTAAGCTTTGTTCCATGAGAATTGACCAGAAAATTGGCTCAGAATTTGGGGAAACATTTCCTAATTAACTTCCGTCCGAGAACCCAAAAGTTGCCAGTCAAGGTGTTCGGATGGTGAAGGGAAGCCATCACCTTAGAAATATGTTTCTGGTCTCTACTTAAAAAGGAAATTTAATGCAATTGAATGGAACTATCTGCACAACCCTCAGATGCGCAGGAGAGAAGCTGTAGAACAAAATGGCTGCAAAAATTGGCCATGGCTGGCAAGTCACGCACAACAGGTGACAACTCATGGCATGGCACTTATAACTCACAGAGTGTGTGATTCCTGACAAGTACTTTTGATGGTGCGTCTTCACAGAATAGTATGCTGAGGCAAACAGTAAAGACACATTGGCACATATGTCATAGACGCATTTTATTACACAGACAAACATGTCACTGAGGGTGTGACTTTCAGTTGAACATTTGAGCGACTTTGTCGAGGACAGCTACACTGTACCTCACCTTCACTCCAAACACATCCACCTCTACTCTTTCTTCCTCTACTTCTACCACTGCTGCTGCAACCTCTTCCTCTTCTACGTGACCCTCTTCCTCATGCCCTGCCTCGCTGGGGTGCTCTGCGTCCTGTGGTGCTGTTTGTCTAAACCCAAGTACCTGGTGGGTGGACTGGCTAGCCTGGGCGTGTTGCGATGCCAGGCCTAGGGCACCTACTGTCTCCCTCACATCTCCGTGGCCGTCAGAACTACATATTAAAAAGTGATAGGAATGCAATACTTTTTTAAAGGTTTACTGAAAAAAAATGGAATATGGTAATGGAATGCAGTAATTGAGATGTTAAAAAAAATACAGGAAACTACTGGAATGCAGTAATTGAGATGTTAAAAAAAAATACAGGAAACTAATGGAACAGACTACAAAATTGATAACATACTGAAAAAACGGGGATGTGAGAGGCATGCAATGAATAAAATATTTGTGTTAGAAAAAAAACAGTAA